GCAGGGGAGGGAGGGCGCCAGGGAGGAGGGGACCAGGGAGGAGGGCGCAGGGGAGGAGGACACCAGGGAGGAGGGCGCCAGGGAAGGGGGCGCCAGGGAAGGGGGCGCCAGGGAGGAGGGGGCCAGGGAAGGAGGGCGCCAGGGAGGAGGGCACCAGGGAGGAGGGCGCCAGGGAGGAGGGCACCAGGGAGGAGGGCGCCAGGGAGGAGGGCGCCAGGGAAGGACGGCACCGGGGAGGAGGACGCCAGGGAGGAGGGCGCCAGAGAGGAGGACGCCAGGGAGGAGGGCGCCAGGGAAGGAGGGCGCCAGGGAAGGAGGACGCCAGGGAGGAGGGCGCCAGGGAAGGACGGCACCGGGGAGGAGGACGCCAGGGAGGAGGGCGCCAGGGAAGGAGGGCGCCAGGGAAGGAGGGCGCCTATCGTGGCAGCGGAAGCTCTGTCCAGCTGGGCCGCTGCAATCGAGAGTGGTGGGGCAGGGTCTTAATTTCTCCGAATCTCTGACCCCAGCCAGTCACCACCTTTGGCCCTCCACTATGGGAACTCTGGGCCGGGACAGCCTGTCCAGGATACCTGAGTTCATTTTCCAGTAGAAGGAAGGGATCTTGTGTAGCTAGTGTTCTTTCCAAGTAAGGAAGGAAAAGTCTATTTCGGTCACCTCTGAGGATACAGGGCACTCAACACGTAGACAGAAGGGACAAACCGTTAGACGGAAGAACAATCTTAATTAAATTAGCATGGCACCATTAAAATGTCATTGGACCGCCTTTCTATGAGCGTTTTATAGCAGGGTTGGGAACCCTGGGGCTAGAGACCAGGATGTGGGGGTTGTCTAGGGGCCCGCCCTTGGGTGGGAAGGCACCCCGCAGATCCAGATGGGCGGGATTCAGCTTCTGTCTTCTCTGTCAGTCAGACTGTGTGCTGGTGAAAGGATAGTCGGGCATCCCTGGAAAAACAGCCTTGTGACCAAGGACGCCATATTCATGTCTCAGGACAGCCCAATGTAGGCGGTGCTATTATTATTATTATTATTATTATTATTATTATTATTATTATTACTATTATTATTATTTTATTGCAAGATCATCTCCTGCAATGGGGAGGCAGTTCTGGGACAGGGAGATGCCATCCTCAGGGACGCCATGGTTGAGAGGTGGCTCAGCAGTTGGTTTTCCTCGTAACATGTGACAAGGAATGGTTGTTATCTTGCAAAATAAACCAATTTGTGTTTGCTTATTTCTAGGTCCCCAGTACAGTGCCTGGGACATAGCAGCAAATTGATTTGCTTAATAAACATTACAGAGCACTTACTACACACTCACTTTGAAATGGGAGTCGGAATCCAGCAGGAGCAGAGGCGGAGGTCTAATCTATTAATAGAAGAGTCATATCATAAACACAGAAGGCAGCAAATGAAGTGACCGTAGGTAAGCTTGTGTGAGACTGTGAGTTATGGGGTAGCCAATACTGTGAGCACGGGGCACTTTTCCCAGGAGTGACTCTGAACACGTGACTGAACAAGGAACGAGGGGAAGGGTGTTCCAGGCAAAGGGAACAGAACACGCGAAGCCCCTTGTCAGGAAGAACTTGGCTGCTGGGGGGAGACAGGGTGAGAGAGCTGTAGGAAATGAGAGGAGAGGGGTCAGGCCATGTAAACCCTCCTAAGCCCAGTTAAGAAGCTTGGGTTTTATTCTAATTCCGGTAAGAACTCTTCGGAAGGCATTAAACAGTGGGAGGGCTGTGATCTAATTCATGCTTTATAGCGTTCATTCTGACTTTAGGAGGAAAGTGGACTGCACAGGGTGGTGGGTGGAGCTGGGAGAACAGAGAGGGGCTGGAGCATCTCAGTGAAAGGTGTTTCTAGACTCTGTGAGTATGGGGGGCGCTGAATCTTTTGGGGATCAGGCCTTTTTTTTAAAAAAAATAATTTTATTTATTTTTATTTTATGTGCATTGGTCTTTTGCCTGCGTGTGTGTCTGTGTGAGGGTGTTGGATTCTGAAGTTACAGACAGTTGTGAGCTGCCATGTAGGTGCTGAGAATCGAACCTGGGTCCTCTGGATAGAGCAGTCAGTGCACTTAACCACTGAGCCATCTCTCCAGACCTGGGGTTCAGGTCTTACTGGTAGACTAGATATGAAGGGTGAAGGAGAGAAATCAGGATGTTCCCAGTGTTTTGAACAGAGCTGCTGACACTGTTAAATGAGATGGGGGAAATTGGGAGAGGAACAGGCTAGAGGCAAGGGAAATCAGGGGTTCTATTATGGACACGCTAAGTTAGAGGTCCATAGTAGTCTGTGGTCATGGGTTCCCCTAAAAGATGTGTTGAAGTCCTAACCCCCAGTAACTGTGAATGTGACTTTACTTAGCAGTAAGGGAGTTTGGCATGTAGCTTAGTTGGTAAGAGTGTTTCTCTGGCATACATGAGTTCCATCCTTGGTACCACATGAACCAGGCATGGTGGTACATGCCTGTAGTCTCAGTGTCTGGGAGGTAGAAGCAGGAAGACCAGAAGTTCAAAGTCATTCTTGAATACACAGGGTATTCAAGGCCAGCCTGGGCTACATGACACCCTGTCAGAAATAGGGGGATTGGGGGGGGGGAAGGGAAATAGAAAATAGGGTCTATCAGGCTGGAGAGATGGCTCAGAGGTTAAGAGCACCAACTGCTCTTCCAGAGGTCCTGAGTTCAATTCCCAGCAACCACATGGTGGCTCACAACCATCTGTAATGAGATCTGGCGCCCTCCTCTGTATACATAATAAATAAATAAATCTTTTTAAAAAAAAAGAAAGAAAAAAAATAGGGTCTATGTTGGATATAATCAAGTGAATGGGGGACCACTGGAGTAGTCCTGAGATAGTATGTGATAAGCATCCGTATAAGAAGAGGGAAACTTGTCCCAGGTGCACTTACAGAGGACACCATGTGAAGATCCAGACACGGGGAGGGACCACCATGCAAAACTGGAGACGGCAGATTAGCATACTACAGCCACACACAGAGGAAGGCTAGGGCCATCTGAAGCCAGAAGAGATGCAGAAGGATCCTTTCCTAGAGGCTCAGGGGACTTGATGTCTGTCAGCACTTGGGTTCTGAGCTTCTGAATTCCATGTCTACAAGATGATGGGTGTTGGTTGTTCCAAGATGCTTTCATTTGTGCGCACTGTGGTGGAAGTACCAGGAGAATCACACAGCATCCTAGCAAAGAGGCTCAGTGGCACTGGGACCAGTTGAGCCTGGAGCTCAGGGGACAGTTGTCTTTTGTTTGTTTGTTAGTGATTTTATTTTGTTTATTTATTACTTATTTTTGGTTTTTCAAGGCAGGGTTTTTCTGTGTAGCCCTGGCTGTCCTAGAACTCACTTTGTAGACCACACTGGCCTCGAACTCACAGAGATCCGTTTGCCTCTGCCTCCCGAGTGCTGGGATTAAAGGCGTGTGCCACCACCACCCAGCATAATGATTTTACTTTATGTGCATTGATGTTTTGCCTGCATATATGTCTGTGTGAGGCTGTTGGATCCTCTGGAACTGGAGTCACAGACGGTTGTGAGCTGCCATGTGGGTGCTGGGAATCAGCCATATGTCCTCTGGAAGAGCAGTCAGTGTTCTTAACTGCTAAGCCATTTCGCCAGCCCCAT